CTGGGGGGGGGGGGAGGGGTGGCAAGAGGGCAGGCGGGGTGCAGGACGGCAGGAAAGGGCCGGCGGCGGCGGCGGCGGCGGCAGGCGGGGCCCGCCGAGGCCGTGGCCGTGCCCGTGCTGCTGGAGCCCTGGCCCGCAGCGGACGGCGCCCCCCCCCCAGCGGGATGGAGCTAGTTGGTCGACCCGACCAGAACGGACAATGTGATTCCCAAAAAGAGCTCTCTGAGCGCTAGAGGGTTTTAGATGAGAAGCCGGACGGTGGTGGTGCCTGCCAGCAGCCCATCTTCGCCGCTCCAGAACCCCCGCAGCGACTCGTAAAATGTCGCAGCGGGTCCTCTGTCCCCACACCGGCGACGACAAGAAGCAGCCCCCACGCACGAGGGCATCGCGGGGGGTCACGCGGGCCGCCCGCGCGACACGCCGCGTTGGAGACGAGGGCGCGCGCGCGCGGTCCTGCGCGGGCAGCCGACGCGCCGACAACGTCGGTGCAGTCGATCCCGCTCTTGGGCGCCCGAGCTATCCGGGGGACCTCGGGCCCGGGGCAATTCGGGTTCGGATTCTTCCCGAAAAACGAACCCGAACTAGCCCTGACCCGAGTTACCCCTGATGATTCGGGGCTCTGGACGCCGGAGTTATCTAGGGTACGTCGGGCCTGGGGCAACTCGGGTTCGGATTATTTCCGAAACAACGAACCCGAGCTATAGCCCTGACCCGAGTTGCCCCTGATGATTCGGGGCTCTAGACACTGGAGTTATCCAGGGTACGTCGGGCCCGGGACAACTCGGGTTCGAATCCCCGAAAAAACGAACCCGAGTGAGCCCTGACCCAAGTTGCCCCTGATGATTCGGGGCTCTAGATACCGGAGTTATCCAGGGCAACTCGGGCCCGGGGTTACTCGGGTTTGGATTCCCGCAAAACGAACCCGAGTTAGCCCTGACCCGAGTTAGTTACTCTTGATGATTTGGGGCTCTGGGCGCCCGAGTTATCTGGGGTACCCCGGGCCCGGGGTACCTCGGGTTCGGATTCCCGAGAAACGAACCCGAATGAGCCCTGACCCGAGTTACCCTTGATGATTTGGGGCTCTGGGCGCCCGATTTATCCAGGGCAACTCGGGCCCGGGGTTACTCGGGTTTGGATTCCCGCAAAACGAACCCGAGTGAGCCCTGACCCGAGTTACTCTTGATGATTTGGGGCTCTGGGCGCCCGAGTTATCCGGGGTACCCCGGGCCCGGGGTACCTCGGGCTCGGATTCCCGAGAAACGAACCCGAGTGAGCCCTGACCCGACTTACCCCTGATGATTCGGGGCTCTGGACGCTCCCTCCGCCGCTCACGTGGCCGCACGCCTCAGGTGCGACATGGTGTGGCGGCTGCGGCCCCGCCGGGCTCCCGGGCCGCCGCCTCCGCCGCCTGGCGAGGGGGGGGGCAGGGGAGCAGCTCGCTGTGGCCGCCTTCTAAGAGGAGGGGGCGGAGCGTGCCCCCCCCCCCCGAGGACCAGGAGGAGGAGGAGGAGGAGGAGGAGGAGGTGGGGGGAGGAGGAGGGGGGGAGGAGGAGGAGGAGGCGGAGGGGAGGGGAGGAGGAGGAGGAGGAGGCGGAGGAGGGGAGGAGTGGAGGAGGAGGCGAGAAAGAGGCGGCTGGAGGACGGGTAAAGGCTTGAGGAGGAGGGGGAGGAGGAGGAGGAGGAGGGGCGAGGAAAGAGGAGGGAAGGAGGGAGGAAGGGAAGGGGAGGAGGAGGAGAAGGAGGAGGAGGAGGAAGCGGGGACGAGGAAGGAGGAGAAGGAGAGCGAGGGGGGGGAGCAGGATCAGCCAGCCTCGAACCGGGCAATCGGATCGGATCGGGATGTGCGTCAGCTCGGGGTGCATGGGCACGGAGTCGAATTCGAAGCGGATCGGCCGCGCCAGGATGCACACCAGCACCATGCAAGCATCGGGCCGCTTCGGATCTCCGGAACATCGAAATCGGATCGGATCGAGACGGCCGGCGTCGAATCGACTCGGATCGATTGTACCGGAAGGGAGTGAGGAAGGAGAAGGGCGGAGGGAGCGGTGAGGAGTGAGACGGGAAGGGGGAGCGGGCTGGTGGCACGGGGGGAGAACGCACGACGAGAAGACGACAAGGCGGAACCCTCTTTGACTACCTACCAGACCACCCCAACCCAACCCGAAGACTCCAATTTCGGGTTTGGGGGGGGTACGGGTTCAATATGTATTTGTTCAATGCTCCCCGACCCCCCCGCCCAACTGGAAATGGAGGGCAAATGGAAGCCTTCGGGATGGGTTGGGGTGGTTTGGTGGGCGGTGACTATCTCGTTGAGAATATACCTGGCCGTTCGATGGAGACCACTGCGGCGCGCGTGCACACAGCTCCTGAGTTCCAGGGGGGTGACCAGATCTGAAGGAGAAGCATCCGAGTACCAGGCATGTTCCGAGTGCAACCTCTCTGGTATCTGTATGTATGCATGTATATACACATAGACTCACATAGTTATATATGCTTACAATTTTGTATATACGAAACGAATCAACATGCCTAAAAACATGCTGCGCTGTCAAGGGGCCGACCGCAACAAACGCTGCGCAAGACCTGGGCGCACTCGGGACCAAAAGATGTGGAGACCCACCGCCGCGCCACAGCTGTCCGATGCCGCAAACTCTTTTTTGATTCGCGGCCCGCAAGGAGAAGTCCAGAGGGCGGTATGACCGAGGCTGGGGCACAGCGACAGATAATTGGCGCGACATCGCGCAGTGTACCTGCAGAAAATTAGAAAGAGGCGGCCACGGTTCAGCCCGCGGGTGGGGGCGAACCGATGCCGCAACCTCTGAACCCCCAAGAAGTGTTCAGCTCTTGGCGGCGGATCTTTTGCTTCCGCCGCCTTCCGCCGGCCCTCCGCCGGCGGAGCCGCCCTCGTTCTGCCTCCACCGCCCTTCCGCCGCCCTCCCGCCGCCTTCCGCCGAGGAACACGTGCCGGCTCCTTCGGCCCTCGAAGACGAGGGCCTTTCAGGAACGCCCCGGCTCTCTCCTCTACCCCCATCGAGGAAGGGGCCGCATCGGCCTACAAAGCTGGATGCTCGTGGCGAGGGGCACGTGGGCAAGGCAGCCAGCGACTCACGGCGCGAGCAGGTGGCCGCCGCGGAGACAGCATGTCGTCACGCATACTGTCGGTCACGGTGAGGAACTTCCGCTGCGCGTGTCGCTGCTGCGGCCCCGGCGACACACCATGCCGTACAATCGAATCACTCGTCGCTCCGACTCACGGGGCGGGAAGCTGGGAAAGGCCCGGGGCGTTGACGCCCGGGACTGGGGGCGTGGATAGCACGTCGCGCCGACGCGCGGTGGGCCAGAGCCGGCGGCGCGACACGCCAAGCCCGAGCTCCTGGCCGCAGGAGGAGGAGGAGGAGGAGGAGGAGGAGGAGGAGGAGGAGGAGGAGGAGGAGGAGGAGGAGAGGCGGAGGAGGAGGTGGAGGAGGAGGAGGAGGAGGATGAGGATGAGGATGACGAGGAGGAGGAGGAGGAGGAGGAGGAGGAGGAGGAGGAGGGGAGTCAGGCGGGGGGAGGCGGCGGGGAGGAGGAGAGGAGGAGGAGGAGGAGGAGGAGGAGGAGGAGGAGTTGGGGGAGGCGGAGACGGAGGAGGAGGAGGAGGAGGAGAAGGGGAGGAGGAGGGGAGGGAGGATGGAGGAGGAGGAGGAGGAGTTGGGGGAGGAGGGGAGGAGGAGCAGGCGGGGGAGGAGGAGGAGGAGGAGGAGGAGGAGGAGGAGGAGGAGGAGGAGGAGGCGGAGGAGGAGGAGGAGGAGGAGGAGGACACAGCATCTGCTCGTCCCACCTCGCCCCGCCCGCGCGCAGCAGTGCTGCGCCCCCCCTTCGGACCTGCGCAGCCGACGAGGTCAGGTCAGGTATCCCGGGGGGCGGGGGGTGAGGGGGGGCGGGGCGGGCGGGCCCCCCGATGCAGTCGAGGCTGACTGGAGAGGGCACTCGGCTACACGCAAGAGTGACCCTGGGTAAGAGTGACCTTTGGTGCGCGGCTTTTGGGGGGCCGCGGGGGGACCAAACTCAGGCGCGCAAGACGCTACTATCGCATCGCAATCGGTGATCGGGGGTCCCCATTGTGCCCGCACCAAAGGTCACTCTGGCGAAAGGTCACTCTTACGTGTAGTCGAGGACACGCGAGAGGGCACAAGACCCTTCCGGGGGCCACACAGCCACAGGGATGCAGGAGGTGTGGGTGGCGCAAGGCAGGATACAAGGGTACCCTCAATCTGCCAGGGTCGATCTACTAATCGGCGGCGAGCCCAGGCGGGGAAGTGAGAAGGGGCGGGTATTCTCAAAGGCTCGGAAATGTCCCGGCCTTCTGAGAAGTCTCCTCAGCTTGCCGCGGAGACACAAAAAACTTCTCTGAGAAGCCCCGCCGCCTTCTGAGAAGGCATTCACCTTCTCGCTTCCCCCCTCGCTCGCCGCCGAACGAATCGACCTCGACTGTCACCTGGATCATCGCCGGAACCTAAAAGCCAAGCCGAGCCGAGCAAGCGGACCCTCAGAGCGGACCCGAAAACCCAAAATCAGTCTCCAAAGTGACGGGCCAGTTTCCCACCACCACTACCACAAGCAGGACGCGGGAGAAGGGAGGATGGGAAGGTCCTCCTTCTCCTCCTCCTCCTCCTCCTCCTCCTTCTCCTCCTCCTCATCCTACTTCTCCTCCCCCGCCTCCTCCTCCTCCTTTTCCTCCTCCTCTTCCTCCTCCTCCTGCTCCTAAACTTTGCAAGAGTGTCATGGATTGAGGGCGGGTGGTTTTCAAAATGTGGCTCTCGCCCAAGCGCCGCGCACATTCGTGTTAAAAACTTGCAAGAGCTTCACGGATTGAGGGCGGGTCGTTTTCAAAATGTGGCTCTCGCCTAAGCGCCGGGCACATTCGATTCATTTAGAAAATTGTATTTTTTCACGGATTGAGGGCGGTTCCTTGTCAAAATGTGGCTCTCGCCTTAGCGCCGCGACATTGCAAGAGTTTCACGGATTCCCATGATCGACGTACCAGATATGGCGTTTTGGACGGATTCACGATTTTGAAGGCGCAACAGTTAGGATGATTCGCGGAGTGGAGATCCCAGGAACGGCGGTCTGGCGCGACTCAGGACCGTCAAGACGCAACAGTCAGGTTCATCCGTGGCGCTGGAATACAGATAATAATGTTTCGGCATGCCTCAGGGTCTTCAAACGGTTGTCTTCCAACGAGGCAGGTCCCTCTGTGGGGATGAACCGTTGTAAGGGCATTTGAAGAGGGAGCTTGGGGGGAGGGTTTATTCCAACATCGTTGGTGAATCCTGAGTTTACACTGGTCCTCCTCCTCCTCCTCCTCCTCCTCCTCATCCTCCTCCTCCTCCCCCTCCTCCTCCCCCTCCACAATTACTCAATATGAAAATATTCTCCCTCTTCCCCTGATGGCGTCCGGGTGATGGCCGCGCACCCTCCGCGTACTGTTTTTTTTACACAGAGGATGCCCGGGAAATCCCGGGAAACGACTCTCGCTGAGGCGCCGGCGTCATTTTTTCTCAAAATGCTGCTCTCGTTGAGGCGCCGGCTTCATTTCTGCTCCCGAATCGTTCCGAATCGTGCTCCCGCTGCAGCGTGGGCCTCATTTTCGGATCGGTGTTTGGCCTCCGTCGTTCAGGATGGCGTTCTCGCCCCAGCGCGGGCCTTTTTTCTCGCGCGCCCATCCGCCCGCCACCACCGCGCCGCACCGCCACCACCACCACCACCACCACCACCACAACCACCACCAGCACCAGCACCAGTACCACCACCACCACCACCAGCACCACCACCACCACCACCACCAGCACCACCACCACCACCATAACCACCACCATAACCACCACCACCACCACTACCACCACCACCACCACCACCACCATCACCACGACAACCACGCACACACGCACGCACGCACGCACGTGCACCACCACCCACTACGCACGCGCGCGCGGAGCCACAGGTCCGCTACGACACGCGTCCGCGGATAGAGAAAAGCAGCGCCATGGTAAGGGATGGGAGGGAGGGGTAGGACGTCAGATATGACGCGAGCGCACCTAGTTGATCTTCTCCTCCTCCCCCCCTCCTCCTCCTCTCTCCTCTTCTCCTCTCTCTCCCTATCCCACTTCCACCTCCTCCTCCTCCTCGTCCTCCTCCTCCTCCTCTCCTCCTCCTCATACTCTCCTCCTCCCCTCCGCTCCTCCCTCCTCCTCCTCTCCTCTTTTCTCCTCCTCCTCCTCCTCTCCTCATCTCTCCTCCTCCTCCTCCCCCCTCTTCCTGCCCATGGGCAGCGGCGGCGTAAAACTGCCGGCCCGCCACAAGCAGAAGCCGCGCGGAGCCGGCCGCCTCTGTCGCCGAGGGCGCCCGGCAGCGAGGCCCGGTGCGCGGGCGCCGCCCGCGGCCGGGGCGCCTCGGCGCCCTCGGAGGCGTTGCGCACGAGCGCGGCCTCCTCGGGGACCGGCGGGTGCTGCTCGGACCACGACTTCCTCGGGAGGCAGGAAGCGAGGGCGGAGGAGGAGAGCGAGGAGGAGGAGGAGGAGGAGGAGGAGGAGGAGGAGGAGGAGGAGGAGGAGGCGGGGGTAGGAGGAGGAGGCGGGGTGAGGAGGAGGAGGAGGAGAGGGAGGAGGAGGGAGGAGGAGGAGGAGGAGGGGAGGTGGAGGAGGAGGAGGAGGGAGGACTCCCGATCCTCCATTCCCCCGGACCTGCTTGTGGGAGCGGTGGTTATTATTTTTTTTTTTGGGAAATTGGCCCATCTCTTTGGACACTGCCTTGCGATGTTCGGGTCCGCTCATAGGGTCCGCTCGCTCGGCTCGGCTTGGCTTGTAGGGTTCGGCGATGATCCCGATGACAGTCGAGGTCGATCCATTCGGCGGCGAGCGAGGGAGGGGGGGAAGCGAGAAAGAAGAGGCCTCCTCAGAAGGCGGCGGGGCTTCTCAGAAGCCCACTGGCCTTCTGAGAAGTTTTTTGCGTCTCCGCGGCAAGCTTAGGATATTTCTCATCAGGCCCGGGGATTTCCGAACCTTCTGAGGAGGCCCTCTCCTCCTCAATTCCCCTCTCGCTCGCCGCCGAGCAGAAGGACATACTCATACAGTGTGCTTGTGTTGGAGCCGCGCGCCCGACCTGATCGCACAGCACAACCAGCTCATAATTGGTCGATGCCCCTGCCGTATGGCCAGAAAGCGCCCGCCACTGAGCATGCACGAGAAGAGTTCCGAGCGCGCGCGGCGCCCTCTGTGGGGGCGACGCGCACACGATAGAATCGCACCGGCCGTCTGGGCGTAGGTGGTCTGGGGCGGTTTCTCTTCAAACCCCCCTCCTTCCCCTTCGGGGAGGGGCTCACCCCTCTCCCTACCCCCTCTCCCTGGACCTGGAAGGGGCGACTTCGCGAGGCGTTGGAGCGACCGAGGTGGCCCAAGATGGCTCCAAGGGGCATCAGAAAGCTCAAGATGACCTCCAAGATGGCTCAAGAGAGCCTAATGGCTCCAGATTGCTCCCGAGATGCTCCTAGAGGCCCGAAGGCCGCTCCAAGACGGCTCCAAGTGGCCACGGAACCCCCCCAGGAGGCCGCCAAGCGGCCAATATCCTAGAGCTGGAGTCTTTTTGGAACCACATAATGGCCGTCATGTGCCTGGGTGGGTGGGTGGTTTCGCTGGCACGTAACATAACACAGTCGCGCGTGGCCGCTCGAATGTGTTTTATGTTGCGAGCATTGCACCTGTTGCTATTGTTGTTGGAGCTGATGTAACGAAGGGACCCAGCAGCTGCGAGAGCCCCGAATATTACTATTACCACTACTACTACTACTACTACTACTACTACTACTACTACTACTACTACTACTACTACTACTACTACTACTACTACTTCTGACTACTACTACTGACTACTACTACTACTACTACTACTACTACTACTACTACTACTACTACTACTACTACTACTACTACTACTACTACTACTACTACTACGACTACTATTTCTACGACTACTACTACTACGACTACTACTACTACTACTACTACTACTACTACTACGACTACTATTTCTACGACTACTACTACTACGACTACTACTATATACTACACGAATACTGCTACATACTATACTTCTTCTACTTACTACACTGATACTTTTATACTACTACTACTACTACTATACTACTACTATACTACTACTACTACTACTACACTACTACTAATACCTTACTACTCTCGAAACTCCTACGACTTACGACTACTACTACTACTACTACTACTACTACTACGACTACTACGACTACTACGACTACTACTACTACTACTACTACTACTGCTGCTGCTACTACTACTACGACTACTACTACTACGACTACTACTACTACTACTACTACTACGACGACGACGACGACTACAACTACTACAACTACTACTACTACTACTACTACTACTACTACTACTACTACTACTACTACTACTATTACTACTACGACACTACTACGACACTACTACGACTACTACAACTACTACTACTACTACGACTACTACTACTACTGCTACTGCTACTACTACTACTACTACTACTACTACTACTACTACTACTACTACTACTACTACTAGGGTCACACCTGACTTATGGCCGGTGAGGTTTGGGTTTGGGTTTTGGTTTGGGTTTGGATTTGGGTTCGGGTTTCCTTGTTTTCTATTGGCAACCAATTGTTATACTTAGTTTCCGATTGAAAACCAATGGTTTGGCTTCGTGGTCGATTGAACATTTATGGTTTTACTTAGATTTCTATTGGGAACCAATGGTTTTCATTAGTGTTCTATTGGGAACCAATGGCTTTTATTAGTTTTCTATTGGGAACCAATGGTTTGTATTAGTTCTCTATTGGAAACCAAGGATTCCTGGCGACTTCCTTAGGACTCTTGGAGAATTCCTAAGGAATCCTTGCGAATTCCTTAGGATTTCTGGAGAATTCCTGTGGAATCTCAAGGATTCTTCAGGATTCGTCGGGGATTCCTTTATATTCCTGGAGGCTTCCTAAGAATTCCTTGCGAATTCCTAAGGATTCCCCCGAGATTCCTTAGGACTCCTCCGAGATTCCCTCGGATTTCTCAAAGATTCCTGGGGATTCCTGTTGAATTCCTTGGGATTCGTGAAGAATTCCTAACGATACCCTTGGCATTCCTTAGGATTCCCTAGGAATCCCTTGGGATTCCTGGAGACTTCCTTAAGATTCCTGAGAATTCCTTTGGTTTCCTGGAGGCTTCATTGGGATTCCGCAAGGATTTCTAAGGATTCCTGAGGATTCCTTTGAAATTCCTCAGGATTCCCTAGGATTCCTTCGGATTCCTGGAAGCTTCTTGGAAAAAGCCTTAGCTTTCCTGCAGGCTTCCTTGGGATTCCTGAAGAATTCGGTGAGGATTCCATGAGATTTCCTTGGGATTCCTGGAGAATCCCCAAGGACTCCTCAGGGATCCCTTCGGATTCCTGATGAATTCCTCTGGATTCCTCAAGAATTTCTTAGGATTCCTCAAGAATTCCTTAGGATTCCTAAGGGATTCTTTAGGTTTCCTGGGGAATTCCTGGGGATTCCTAGAGAATTCCTTCGGATTCCTCACAGCGTGCCGGCCATGCGTCAAGTGTGAAGGACGCGTAGTTTATATCGGGTTTTCGTACACCTGTATAGAAACCCAGCAAAAATAAGGCCATAAACAGGCCGGCCATCGACGACGGGTGACCCTACTAGGACTACTACTACTACTACTACTACTACTACTACTACTACTACTACGACTTTCACTACGACTTTTACTACTACTACTACTACTACTACTATACTACTCCGGACTACGACCTACTACGACTACTACCATACTACTACCAACTACTACTATACTATACCACTACCCACTACTATACTACTCACTACTACTACTTACTACTGCTTCTATGACGACACGACTACGACTAGACTACGACTACGACTACGACCTACGACTTACGGACAACGACAATATACACTAACTACTACTATACTTATATACTATTATAACTACTACTACTACTTACTATACGACTTCGGATACTACTACAACTCGACTACGACTACGACTTTACGACTACTACTACTACTACTACTACTACTACTTATACCTAACTACGGACTATACTATAACTACTTCTTACTACTATTACGAATTTACTATACTCTTATTGACTTACTACTTTTGACTACTCCTACTCCTACTACTACTGCTTCTACTATTACTACTACTACTACTACTACTACTACTACTACTACTACTACTACTACTACTACTACTACTACTACTACTACTACTCCTTCTACTACTACTACTACTACTACTACTAATACTACTACTACTACTACTACTACTACTACTACTACTACTACTACTACTACTACCACTACCACTACCACTACCGCTACCACTACTAGTACTACCACTACTACTACTGCTACTACTACTACTACTACTACTACTACTACTACTACTACTACTACGACTACTATTACTACTACTACGATTACTACGATTACTACTCCTACTACTACTCCTACTACTCCTACTCCTACTCCTACGCCTACGCCTACTACTACTACTACTACTACTACTACTACTACTACTACTACTACTACTACTACTACTACTACTACTACTACTACTACTACTACTACTACGATTCGTTCCGTTACAGGTCCCAGGAAGGACCCGAAAAAGGCCCAGGGCGCCCGGAGACCGCAGAATCCACGAATCGATACCGGATTCAAAGAAACTCCCGTCGTTCCGTTCCAGGCCCTCGGAGGGCCCAGCGGCGCCCTGAGGTCAGAAAGTCAAGGAGTCGATACGGGTTACAAATCAACTGTCATCGTTGCATCCCGAACTCCCCCTCCTCGTCCTCCTCGTCCTCCTTGTCCTGCTCCTCCTCCTGCCCCCCCCTGTCCTCCTCCTCCTCTCCCTCCCCCTCCTCGTCGGCGTCCCCGCGAGCGCAACATTATTTGCCTGAGGGCATCACAATAGCGCGAAGCGCGCGGGCGCGCCTTTGTAGGCCACACAACAACCTGCGCGCACGATGCGCCCCTACGAGCCACAGGCGTATGCCTACGCACACTGCAAACACGCTGTCGTCGCACTACGAGCAGCATACGTAACTATACGCTACACATCAGGCGCTGCTACGACGACGGTGGGTGGGGCGGCGGCCGCTATGTCATGTACTGGGTGGGTGGGTGGGTTGGAGGCCACATAACGCGCATTATGTGCTTGAGTTAAAAAACTTGAGCTCCTTTACTACATAACCAACGGAAAATCAATGAGTCCCACCAGCCCTCTGAGCGTAGGTGGTCTAGGAGGGGCTTACCATTGTTTTTCCTTAATGCACACCCTCTCCCCCAGGCGACCGGCGGCCAACCAGGAACGGTGCGGACCCGTCCCCCCGCAATCCCTGTCAAAAAATTAGCCTGGCGAAGGACCCAACCATA